CAGCATCAAATTAAATACCTATTTTATATTTTTTATATTATACCCTCCATTCTACAATAATTGATACTATTTCTATTTTCTTATGTTTGGTACCAATTGATATATTTTGATTAAAATTTACTAAATCAAAACATACTTAATAAAGATAAATCAAATTAATTAACTATATATAACATTATACATAATGTATGACCCACCCAAAACCCATCTCTTAAAAAAGAAAATATTGTTATCAACTTTTAAAACTTCTCATTTTATAAATTTAATCTATGTTAATTATAAATAAATAAAAATATTTTTTATTTACATGTATTATTGAAAATTTTATTATCTGTAAAATGATATCAATATTCAATATACTTTTTATTGCGATTAATTTTTAAAATATTTAAATATATATTTTATTTTTTAATCATATACATCTTAAATTTATTTTAAAACTATCAATATTGTTAATTATACAAAAAAATAATACTAAAAAAATATCATAATTCACTATGATTAACTAATTGAATGCTCTCTCCGTCCCACTCCAAATGAGCCATTAACTCCAAATGAGCCATTTGAGATTTTGTAATAAATTAAAAAATAATACTCCATCCGTCAATCTGTAAGAGTCACATTTACCTTTTGCGTTATTATACTTAACATTAAAAATATCTTTATATTTATATAATTTTTTTGTACAAATGTCATTTTGCCTGTATAAAGTAATTGTATATATAATGGTATATTTGTAATTTAGATAAAAATTAAGAGTACTCTGATATTAATATATGATTACTTTTACTAAAATGAAAAAATTAATATTTTGGAGTGAGACAGACAAAAATAATAAAAATTATATAGTATTTTTGGATGAATTTATTTTTTATATTAAGTAATATATTTTATGTTAAATTATTAACTGTTTTGAGTGAATAAAAAAATATATTCTCTCTGTCCAACCATAAAATATATATATTTTTATTTTGAATTGTCCAATTACAAAGTAACTATTTCGTTAAATACCCAATTTTTTTCACAAATACCCTCATTTGACCATTACATCATTACTTTTATAAAAAAATAAATAAATAAATGAAAAAATTATCTTTACACTATTTTTAATTACTCACTACAGTTAAATACTATTATTTTCTTAAATTTTTACGCCAAAAGTAAATATATATACTTTGTCATCGGATGGAAATAGTATATAATATATTGTGTTAATATGAGTATATATTGTAAATTTTATAATATTTATAAAAAATCATGCCACCAAAAAATTATTGGGTGAACAAACTCAATCTTTTATGTCACAAAATATCACATCAAAATATTATTTAAATAAAAACTCAAATTAATAATTGATTTAAAATTAATTTCAAATCACAGCATAACAAGATTCATAATATTTGTTTGTTTTTATTTCAAATAAAATACCATTATTTAGCAATATAGTTTTCAATAAAAAATATTATTTCATCTCACAAAATATTTTATCAAAATATTATTTAAACAAAATTTAAAATTAACACCCCATTTTAAATCACAACCAAACGAACCATAATTTCTCGATTCATTTTCAATAACTTACTATGTTACCAATTACTTTTTATTTATCAATACAATTATATACGTAAAATCGCTTTATTAGGAGTATTATAATTATGATTGTTATTTAAAGAAATTAACATTAATTATTTACGCTCGATTTGATTATAACACGGCCTATGTTCATCGACAAAATAATACACCATATATGTTTTCTTTATTTTTATTTTGTATTCGAAAAAATATACGACAATGAGTCATAGGTTATATTGTCTTGCAATGACAACTATGTCAAATGACTTTATTGTTGCCGACTTATCGACGATTTTTTTGGTTTTGATTTAATTTTTTTTATTTAAATAGTATTATAATATAATATTTATGAAAAAAATATCTGGTTGAATAGAAAAAATTTTGGTTTTAAATCAAAACCAAACAAATCTGATTTTATGATTCTATTTTAATATTTATTTATTTGTCATGTTACATATGTGTATATATATATATCCAACAAATATGAACCTTTTGTGAGAATTAGTTATAAATAAAATATTATAATTATTAAAACTTATAATTCTAAATTTAAAAATCCCCACATTAATTTAGTAGTTGAATTATGGTTAGGGATGTCAAATGGGGCCGGACCTGCCCCGGATCCGGTCTTAATGGGGCGGGTTCGGGTCTAAAAAAATTTGGTTCAGAGCGGATTGTGGGTTTTGAGTTTTAGACCCGGCCGGGCTTGAGGCGGGTTACGAGTTTTATTATAAATCCGCTCCACCTCGGACCCGAATCCGAACCCGGATATTTTAATAATTATGATAATTTATTTATATTTTTATACAATATAAATTATATTATTATTTTTATTTAAAAAATTTAAATATAAAATAGAATCTTAGTTCTAAATCAAATTTATCTTCTCATTTGTTTCTCCTATAATTCTCTTTATAGTCGGGACTACTGCTGACCGCCATCGCTATGGACTATCGTCAATATTTGATTGTGCTTATTTTTAGAACTATTATTTTTTGGTACTTTGACGCATATTTCTTTAGTATTAAATTATTTTTTTAAAAAATTATTTTATTTTTTTTAAAAAAAGCAAATTTGTCGGGTTGGCCCTGAACCCGGAGGGTTCGGAACGGGACGGGTCTTGGGGCCGGGTTGAAGCAGGGCGAGACGAGTTTTAAATCCTAATATTTTCTAGCGGGGCGGATCCCGGAGCCTGCAAAACCAGTCTCAAACCTGCCCCGTTGACATCCCTAATTATGGTACTTTTCTCTTGGGATGTAAATTAGTGAGAGTTACATTTTGCTAATATTTTCCCTAAACAATTTTATTTTCTCTTAACTATTTATTATATATTTGAAATTATATCTACAATATTGGCAAAGTCACATCATTATTTATTTATTTTTATTTATTTATTTATTTATTTATTTTTTTGACGTAGGATTCATAATTCTCAAATCAAATACAATAGCCTACAAATTAAAATTTTACTATATAGTAATTTATTTAATTCTTCTTTCGTATGTGCATTAAGAATGAAATAAATTCACAAACTAACAGTGCAATAATAAATTTAATCAAATTGATTATTAGTTCTTCAAAAAAAAAAAAAACTATAAAATTCATATATTCATGACGGAATTACATGGGGCTATAGGGTCAACTGACCCTCCAACTCTCAAAATATATGTATTTTTTAATATAAAAAAAATAAAATTATATATTTTAGAGTAATTTGCTCCTTTTAATTTTTTATTTTGTAATATAAAAAATTATAAAAATTTTATCCTTACGGTGATTTATACTTTTAGTTTTTAAATTTTATTTTTTATAGTAAAAAAATATTAACTTTTATGTAATTTTATTAAAATAATTTCTAAAACATTTAAATTTTCCAAATTTTTTATCTTTTGCCGCAATGTACTATAAATAATAAAAAAAATAACATTAAATCAATAACAAAAAAATCGATTTTGCCCCCCTCCTCTCTAACTTTTATTGCTGGTTCCGTCACTGCATATGATCACCAAAGTTTTAATACATCGTGACGTCCAACAAGTCTTGAATAATTTTTTTTTACAATAGCCTTACTTTTTGTATATATAATTTCTTATTTATTTTAATATATAAAATTGTAGCTAAGTAAACAAGAGATCGGCAAAGAATTCTGATCCGAAGAATCTAGAACTATGATAACATATACATTACATTTTCAAAACGATGCTTTGAGAATGTGACGTACATGTCATTCTAGTTCTGATTAATCAGATCGGAATTCTTTGACGGTCCCTTGTTTGCTTAGTTATTTTTTTTTTATAAATTATAATATATAAGTAATTAAATATTTTCTATTTCTACTTTTATTTTTTCTTTGATTATTTTAACGATGACGAATTGGATGAATTATTGTTTTTTCGGTCAAATATTTTAAAATTTTACTATTTAAACTATACTAATATATATATATATATTTCTTATAAAGTATCTCATAAATATTATTTTAATACCAAACATAAACTCACAAAAAAAAGACAAAAAACACACTCTAGAATTAAGAATTTAAAATTTAATAATATATTTTTCAAAATATTTATTTATTTTAAAAATTTGTTTGTGTTAGATACAATCCAATATTATGAGCCAAAATCCATAAATTATAAAGATATCATTACATATACAATTAATTTATATATAAAGTGTGCGTAAGAGATGACATGTTTGTTTGGAAGTTTAAATAGCAAAAATTTTGAATTTGAATAATTATATGATTTGTGATATAAATAGGTATCATGTAATATTTTGAATGCAAAATTAAATTTTAATATTATATACAAAATAAAAATAGATATTTTGATTTGATTTTTTTTTAAAAAAATAATGAATAGTAAAAATGGGGGGAAGTTGGTAACAAGAACAGCTTTAATAGAAATAAATACTTCAATTTTTAAATTTCAATTTTCTTACTCAAACTTGGAGTGTATTTTTTTGGGTTTAGTTTGAATTAGATATTAAAATAATATTTGATAAATTGTTTCGCAAAAAAAATTATTTTTTTTTAAAAAAATATTAGGGTGTGTTTGTTTTGTGTTTTGATATTTTTATGTAAAAAATAAAAATTATATAAGTAATATAAAAATAAAAAAAATGTGTAATATATTAATATTTTTTTAAAAAATGTATTAAAAAATTTTGTCAAAAGAAAGTAGCCTAAATATCTACCAATTCTCGTACCAAACAATATCAAGCTTTAATTTATTTATTTTTGTGTCTGGCTAGATTCCGGCCCATCCTCATTTTTTGCCTGCTCAATTGAATGTACATATTGGGCCAAGATAAGGCCCAATACACAATATTGGGCCGCTTTAGGTACAATTAATTCTTAAAAGGCCCAATCGCCCCAGTAGGACATATATAATGACAGAATCACGTTTCACTCGAATTAGGATTAGGGTTTCTGCGTTTCGTGCCGGCGGGACAGAGACGACGTTGCCATGGGGAGAAGTAAGCTTCGATTCTGTTGTATTCGATTTGTAAAATCATTCATGTATTTTAAATTAAGCGTTTGTTGTAAGATTTGTTCGTGATTTTTACTTTGCTCTACGCGCGGCGTTAAGTTTTTGTAATTTTTGTTCCTGGTGGAGAAGGATGCTTCTTAAATTGTTCTGGATGATGTTATGTAATTTTACCTGATTTGTTCTTTGTTTGTGTAGACACGAAAAAAACTCACGATTTACATATATATGTGTATACTTATTAATTTGTCGCATGATTTCCTTTCTAAGCTCTCTGTGGATTATGAAGTCCTGAATGAAAGAAAATAAGAATTGGTAAATACTTGAGAATGTTAGTTAATGATATCTAGTTTACTCTACTGGATGGATATTTGAGAGGTCGGATGATACGTTTTTGTATGAAGATTATTGTATCTCATCTCTAGGATATGAGGTGTTAGATCATGTGTTTTGTGGCCTGGCCTTAGTGAAAGTGAAAATTGGGAATTTTTCATGGACAAAGATATTTGTTTATGTATCTGATGTCCTGATTTTTACATGAATGAATAGTTGGTGTATGCTATATTGCTCGGTGGATTATCTCTTTTACAAGGCAAGCAACCTAAAGGAAAATTAGAATTAGTGCTAAGCTTGTGCCAGAATTTCTGCAAATGAACCATTAATGACATTCACGATCTATCTATTGATGTGTATTGTATTGCTTGGCTGATTCTCACTTGGGATTAGATGATCTATCTATGGTTTGAGATGTGATTTTGAGTCTAGAGGAAAATGAGAGTTAATGAATTCTCGACCAAGAACATTCTGTCTGACACAAACTTGCCTAAATAATATTTTCTTTCTTGTCTATATCGACAGATGTATGTTTGATGTGTTTTGTGGCTAGCACTTACAACACTCCCTCTCCTACAGGACCTGCTAGGTGTTATCGCCAGATCAAGAACAAACCATACCCCAAGTCGCGGTATTGTCGTGGTGTACCGGACCCAAAGATCCGTATCTACGATGTGGGCATGAAGAAGAAAGGTGTCGATGAATTCCCCTTCTGTGTGCACTTGGTGAGTTGGGAGAAGGAAAATGTGTCGAGCGAGGCTTTGGAAGCTGCACGTATCGCCTGTAACAAATACATGGCCAAGTTTGCTGGGAAGGACGCCTTCCACTTGAGGGTCAGGGTTCATCCTTTCCATGTCCTTAGGATCAACAAGATGTTGTCGTGCGCCGGGGCTGATAGGCTCCAGACTGGCATGCGAGGTGCTTTCGGGAAGCCCCAGGGTACCTGTGCCCGGGTGGCCATCGGGCAGGTGCTCTTGTCTGTGCGCTGCAAGGACGGGAACAGCCATCATGCACAGGAGGCCTTGCGCCGTGCTAAATTCAAGTTTCCCGGCCGTCAGAAGATTATTGTCAGCCGAAAATGGTATTCATATATTTCTTCTGTTTATGAATTTATTATGTCTCCTATTGCCTTACCATTCCTTCTCTGGTTCAGCTCTAGTCGTCGGGTATTATATCCATTTATATATATATATTTTTGTTGACTCTGTCAGGGGATTTACGAAATTCAGTCGCACTGATTTTGTGAAATGGAAGTCTGAGAACAGGATTGTCTCCGACGGTGTGAATGCTAAGGTAAGGTTATTTCGATGCGGTAGTTCTGTCTTAATCTTGCATATGTATGCTGACTTAATGCATCTATCTGCTATTACAATGCAGCTTCTCGGATGCCATGGACCGTTGGCTAACAGGAAACCCGGAAGGGCGTTTTTGTCGGGGCCGGTTCAAGGATGATGAAGTTTTCGCTTCGGTTTGAGGTAACTTCTTACCTTTGGAATCTCCTACCTCTTTAATTTTAATTTTAGCTTCTGCCCAAGTTGTTGAATTGAATTCACTCTTTTGTGATTTATCAAAGTTTCAAACTTTGTTTGTATTGAACCAGAGTAGCCTTATGATCTCTCTCTCTCTCTCTCTCTCTATATATATATATATATATACTGTTTGTTTGTGTTTTTTTTTCGGCTACATGATGTTGGTTTGGTTTGGTTTGCATAAATCAAAATTCTACTGTGGCGTAGGTGAATATATATAATATTGCAAATTTATTTACTTTTAAGAAAATTAAATATATATTTTTTTTATGACAACTAAAAGATGAAAATAGGTATAAATATAAGTGACAAAAGGAGTATTAATTTTCCGGTGAAGTCATTGGTAAGGGCGAGCATTCGGATTTTGCCAAATTCGAGCCGATTCGAAAATCCGAAAATTTTGAAATCCGAACCGAAATCCGAACTAAAAAATTCAAACCAAATTGAAAAATCTAAAATTCTAAATATTTTTATTATTTTTTTTAATTTTTAAATTTCATTTATATTTTATTTATAATATTAAATATATATATATAACATATAAAAATTAAATATATTAAAATATAATTAATAAATTTGAGTTTTTTATATTAAACTATAATATTTTTTAATAAAATATTAAATATGTATAATAAAGAAATATATTAAAATGTTATATTTCGAATTTCGGATTGGTTCAAATTTTAAGTATACCGATCCGAAATTCGAAATTTGTTAAAAATTCAATTCGATTCAAATCGAGAATCCGAGAAATTCGAATCAAATTTTAAATTTCAGTTCGGTTCGGATTGGATTTTTAGATTTTGCATATTTTGCTCAACCCTGGTCATTGGTGAGGTCCAGTCGGATTTTACTTTTTACTTATTAAAATTTAGTCAAATAGTATAAAGAATATTCTAAAATATTTTGAGGCTATTATATTATTTTCTCTGTATATATTTATTTTAATCTGGCCATTTTTTTTTGTAACTATGTTTGATCGTAAAATTTAAATTGTAATTAAAATATGTCATTATTTTCCAGAAAAAAAAAGTGATACAAGAATCCTAAAATATTTGCAATTTTTCTTTATTTATATCCAATTTTTAACCTTTTACTCTTATAAATACAATTTATGAAATCGTTTCTAACAAAACATAAAGGAAAAATGGTAATATATATATATTAAAATTATTTACTTTAAAAAAAAAAACTATGTTAAAAGTAAATAAAACAAATATTTGGAGGTCATGATAGTAATTTTATATTATATTAAAAATTAATTTTAAATTTAAAAATCATATCATATTTATTTATATCAACAGTAATGCTTAATGTGAGTATTTGATAGTGGATTGATAGCATATTAATTAAATATAGACGGAGAATCCACAAAATATAAATTAACATAATATTTCTATATTTTTTTATTTTTATTACATAATTGCTATTATTTTTACACTAATACAGTCGTAAGAGCAAAAAATCTTTTATTTATATTTTTTACCCACTACCAATATAATATCAATATTCCTTAAATTTCGTGCATAACTCAATTAAGACTATAATATATTTATAGGACGGAGAGAGTATAAAATATTATATGAATTATATATATATATATATATATATGATAATAGTCCATATAATACATAATAGTAATAATTTTGTCACAAAAGGTATATTCACGCAACACACTATAAAATATACTCCCTCTGTCCCATATAATTTGTCCCTATTTTCTATTTTCGTCCGTCCCACGTAACTTGTCCTTTCTATTTTTGGAAATATAATTATGTACTTTAATCGCATTTTATAATTTTCTTAATTTTAATTAAACTATTTAGTTATCTTAATCTTAATCTTAATCTATAATTATTTTTACTAAATAATAATTATTTTTACTAATACACTTTTTAATTACTTACTAATTATACTTTACCTAAATTTCCGTGTCTACAGTAATACACCCATATTACATGGGACGGAGGGAGTATATGATTTGTAAGCACGTGATAATAATCTATTCGATCCCTTTTATTTGAAAGGTTAATTTGGGATTTTGTAGTTGATTAAAAATTAATAATATTTGATTAGTCAGTGAAAGTATGTAAGAGGTTTTGAAATTTTGTTATTTAAATTTATATAAATTGTAATTGTATGTATAATGATATATTTTTAATTTAAATAAAAATTAAAAGTATTTTTATCTTAGTTTATGATTATTTTTACTTAAAAAAAAAATGAAAGAAATATTTTTAAGTGAATGAAAAAAAATGGTAAAAATATTACTTTGAGACAAAATAAGTATATTTTATGCACTGATTAGTTTTAATCAACTTCCTAACCATTCCATATTTATATAATACTTTCTTTCGTTCCACACAATTTGTCAACTCTTTATATTTCGGTTCATTAACATAATTTTTCTTTATTTTTTTTGGAAATATAATTATACATTTTAATCATATTTTAAATTCATAATTTATAATTTTAATTCAACTATTTAATCATCTTAATTTTAATCTATAATTATTTTTATTAATTATTTACTAATTATATACTGCTCCCTCCGTCCACAAACTAATATCCTACTTTTCTATTTTCTATTTGGGATGTCCAATAACAATGGTCCTACATAAATTTTACATTTTTACCCCTTATTCATTTATTACTTTTAATTTCTACCATACACTTAAGGACAAATTTGTCAATTTATAACAAAAAGACAATTACCTAAAAACCCGTGTAAATATACTTTAGCACAATAGAAATTGGACGGATGAAGTATAATATCTAAAAGTTCTAGCCGGACAAATTAACTAGAAGAGAAGTGTATGAAAATTAAAAAAAAAAAAAAAAAAAAAATCCAATTCAAAATATTTTATTTTATATATATTATCATCAACGTTTTAATAACAACACATAAAATCACCATTTGCATTCATTCATTCAAAGATTTCATTCTCTCTGAAGCCATGGACAGAAGAAAATCATATTTCAATTCCATCGCCTCGCCGCCGGCGAGAACTTCTGCGACCTCCACCGGCAAGAAGACTCCTCATTCCGACAAAGAAGAAGAACTCACCGGAAAATTCAGCCCAATGACGAATAATATCGTCTCCCCAGACAACAACAATGGTTATGATTCTCAAGAAAATACAGGTAAATTAATTCAAGAAATGTAACAGTAAAAAAAAAAAAAAAAACTATTAAAACTGAATTCAGCTAGTTAATCACTTCTTAGTTCTTGAATAAACTACCTACATTTTTCATTTCTTGATCATATATATATATTCTAACACTTCGAATTATTATTCGTCGTGATTTAATGAAGCGGGCCGCGAAGAGAGCTCCGGCTATGAATATTCACCATTTTCCTTGCGCTCTTTTCATGAATACAATTGGGACGAGTTGGGAATTTCCACGGATAACAATGATTTTACGGTGCCATTACCGAGTTCAGAGGCTGAATCAAGGAATAGGATTAGGGTTAGGGTTTTTGTTCGATGATCGATCCCTTTTTACATCATTTTTTTTTTCCTTTTCTTTTGAATGATTTTTTTCTATGTATATTTTTACGTGATTTAATGTATGTTGATTTCTTGGATAGGGGATGATCAAGTGGAAGAATCTTTGAGTCCAATAGTGTTAGGGTTAGGGTTTTTGTTCAATGATCGATCCATTTTTTCGTCAATTTTTTTTTTCTTTTTTTGAAGTTTTTTCGATGTATTCTTTTTCTTGAATTAAATGTATGTTGATTTATTGTATAGGATGATCAAGTGGGAGAATCTTCGCATCCAAATTTAGCTGAGCCGGAGAATCGGCGCGAAAGGCAAGAGTCGAGGCTTAATCATCAACAGCCGATAAGAGGGTTAGATCCACGGACAATGCCGTATTTTCCAATATGGCTCTGGCGCCGTTGAATAGGGTTTGAAAAAATTTCTTCATCTCTAAGTTTCGACGTATAAAAATCAAGATCGAGACCCTTGATCCGATCGAATTTGAAAAATATCATTGTTTAGATTGCATAATTAGCTTAGTTCGAAATTTTCGATTCTTGCATTCAATCGGGTATGAGTTTCATTTGTTTTGGGATCACATTAGAAAATGTCTTAATCTAACTGCAATAGATATGATTTGTTTTCATGACTAGAGATTTTGTTCTTTCTTTCTTTTTTTTCCTTTTTTCTTTCTTCCTATTATTATTACTAACTTGAATTATCTTTTGATTGTATAATTTATTGGTGGAAAATCTTTGATCTCAAGAATGTATTTCGAAAAATCGAAGTAATTTTTTCGAGAAAAGAATATGTTTCTCGGTTGTGGATCATTGATTTTCTTTTGAAACAAACAAAAAAAAAAGAATCCTAAATAACTATATCATGTGAATTGATTTATTATTGAGAAGGGAAAAAGGAGATATAATGAAATAAGACGAGATATAATCACGGGTGGGCAAAAAATTCGAACTGAACCGTTAAACCAAACCGAATTTTCAGTTAACCAAACAAATTCGTTTTGAATACAAATACTGCATATTTAATATTTGTTTGATTCGGTTCAATTTTGGTTTTTTATATTTTTTTGGTTTGGTTAACCGAACGGAATATATTTATATTATTATATTTTAAATTTTATATTTATAATTATATTCGAGTCGATTTCGGTTCGGATATTTAAAATACTTGCAAATATTTTTTATTTAATTATTTTTTAATGTATATTTCTTAATTTTGGTCCGGTTCAAGTTATTTGTTAAATATTGAAAATATTTTCGGTTCGAAGTTCGCAGTTTCGAGTATTTGTTTGATTCAGTTCGGATATCAAATATCTGCATATTTATAAATAACCGAACCGGACCACCCCTGGATATAATATAACATATTGTACCTTTGTAATTATATATGAAGGCTTATTTGGTCATTTGCGCGCCTTATTGAATAATGAGTCTTAAATTATAACACTACATTAGAAATTTGTTCGCCGTACTTTTTACCTATTCTCAGTTGATTAAAGTTAATCAATTCTTAAATAAAATATATACTTTCTCCGTAGCCTCCAACGGTCATATTTATTTTTTGTGTCATTTTACTTAATATTAAAAATATTCTTATATTTATATAATTTTTTTGTACAAATATCTTTTTATTAGTATTATAAGACACTAATGGAAGTATTTTTGCAATTTTTTCTTAATTTGTAGTATGTTTTGATATAATAATTAATGTTCAAATATCAACATGTAAAAAATAAATGAGATCCTTAAAACCGGACGAAGATAGTATATATTATAGTAAATTATACAACACCACACCTCATGTCAAAATCTATTTCATTAAATTAAATCATACACAAAACATCATACTCGTCCTAATCTAATATTCAAATATAGTATTTGGTTCTACATATGTTTAACACAGATAAAAATACTAAAATATTTTAAATGGTTTTATTTGAATATAAATAAATAAAATAAATAATTGAACAATACTTTATTTTATAATTTCATTTTTTTGTAAAAATTAGATAACTTGTCTCTAAAAGAAAATTTATCAAATAAATAAATAATCATATTTTATTCAATGAAACTAATTAAAATATTTTACCAATTTTCTTTGCATTAGTCTACATTAATTTTACGTGTGAATTTTAAGTAAACTGCGTAATAAAGTGAAACAAATTTTAGAGGTTGAAATGAAAACTCACTCACACAGAAAATTTGCAATATTTTATATATTCACCTACGACATAGTAAAATTTTGATTTATGCAACCAAACCAACGTTATGCATAAATAAAATAAAAATAATAAAATAATAAAATAATAATAAAATAAAATAAGTACTACGAGCATCTCCAACCATGCTCCATATCTGACGTTCCAACACCATTTTTGCCGCCGAATTGCTCCAATCCAGCGCCATTCCCAGCACCAAATTTAGAGTTTGCTACAGTGCAACACCATTTTTTTTAAAAAAAAAAAAAAAAAACTTTTTTTAAAAAAATTATAAATTTAATATTTAAATTTAATTTTTATTTTTTAATTTTTTTAAATTTTATTTTAAAAATTATAAAAATAAAAAGTTGTTTAAAATAATAGAAAAAATTGAATATTCGAAGAATAATAGTAAAAAATAGAGTTATGGTTGAAATAAAATTATTTTAACAACTGCATAGTTGAAATTAAAATTGGATAAATAGATATGATGGGTTGAAAATGGCCTAATAAAATAGATAGGGAGTGTGGGCATGACTGCTCCCTTTGCCTCTACCAGTACAGCTCCTCCTCTAGTCCAACTTATTATGTTCATATTTTTGCATTAGGGTCCGTATTAATTTAAAAAATAAATAGAAGACAAATAAAAATATTTTGTATTTGGATGAATCATTATAAAAAATTGAAAGTACTTTAAAATTGTTATAATTACTCGGTAGGACATATTGTTAATATAATTTTTAAATTTGAAAATAATATATATTTAAAATAAAATTACTAGGAATATTAAATTAACATACAAATTTAAAATAATAATATAATTATCTTTTATTTTTATTTTTATTAAAATTGAAATATATAAATTAATTGTTTTTATATTATATTATAGGCTTGTATTTATTATTAGTATTAGTATTATTATTAAGGTTAAAAAAATAATTTTAAGTGAAAATTACTTCTGCTAATTTCAAAAGCTACGCTTAATATATTTCTGAAAAGATATTTTTCAGTGTCAAAGACTGCTTCTGACTGATGCTAACAGGTACAAGATATTTTTTTAAAAGCAAAAGTCAAAAACTCATACTAAAATTCAATCCAAATGAGGCCTTCTTAATCTCATTTAATTTTTTTAATTTATAACTATTTTTTAATTTTAATTAGAGTACTTAAATATGTAAATATTAATTTATAATTATTTATATTGATATATTCTAAATTATTTATTAATTATATTTTTTAAAAAATTATTGTATCTTGAAATATTACTTATATTTTTATAATAATAATAATAATGGGCTGTGGATCCCATCAGCTGATTCAATTTCAGTCATCGATTAAATTTAATATAATAATGATGGTAGGGCGAGATTGTATTTTTGTATAATTTATTTTATACAATTTAGATTTTAGCTATGACAATTATTTTCAGCGTCTTCTTGTTGTTATTCAAGCGATTGTTATTGACCCGCTGCTGCTGTTTCAGTGGCCGTGTGCCAGTGCTCGCCCACCGTGGCCGAGACTGGACGGCACCGTGTGCCACAGGCCGGCCACCATGGTCGAGACTGGGCGGCACCATAGGGGTGAGTATGGTTCAGTTATTTGCAAATATGCAGGTATTTGATATATGAATCGAATAGATCAAATACTCGAAACTGTGAACCATATTCGAATCGAAAATTTCGATTAATCAAAAATATTTGTAATATTTGCAAATAACTCGAACGGAACTGAAATTAAAAAAAAAAATACATTAAAAATAATTAACATTCTAATTAAATAAAAAATATTTGCAAAAATTTCAAATATCCGAACCAAAATCGAACCGAATATAATTATTAATATAAATTTTAATAATAATACAAATATATAAATATAACCGAACCGAAAAAATATAAAAAACCGAAACCGAACCGAACCAAACCAGACCAAACAAATACCAAATATGTAGCATTTTTATTCGAACCAACTTTGTTCGGTTAACCGAAAATTCGGTTCAGCTGTTTGGCATTTCGGTTTGATTTTTTTGCTCATCCCTACTACACGATGGTGGATGGGCGTTTGTCATTCTAGTAGTACGAGATGATTGAGCGGAATGTGGTGGCGATGGTTGAAGAAATGTGATGATGGTGATCGGAAGAATAATAGAAAAGCTTGTGTCGACGACTGATACTCTTCATCCACACGTAAACGTTGAAATCTTATTTATTTTAATTAACAATAATTGAAATATTTTTAAATAATAATGAATGCTGAAATTTTTATGCATCTTAACTTTACTACTTACTCCTATTCAATATGGCTACTTTTTTTAAAAAAAAAAAAAAGAAAATTAGATTTTCTTTAATTTTTCAATTTGAATCTAAATTAATTATCTTTTCAAAAAAAAAAAAAAAATCCTAAATCTTTATACTAATGAGAGATCCCTCCAGAAAATCCTCCCAAATGATGATTATAAAGTGGGTTCCCCTCCCCAGGGAACTTTTGAAAGTATAAAGTGGTAGAATTTTTTTTGTAGGGTGGTCATTCGAATTTTCGGTTCAAATTTTGCCAAATTCGAACCGATCCGAAAATTCAAAATTTTTGAAAAAAATCAATCCGAACCAAATCGAAATAATCAAAATCCGTAATCCGAACTAAAAAATCCGAACCAAACCGAAAAATTCAAAATTCTAAATATTTTTATTATTTTTTTAAAATTTTTAAATTCTTTTATATTTTATTATTATTTTATAATATTAAATATATATAATCAATGAAAATTAAATATATTAAGATATAATTAATAAATTTGAGTTTTTTATATTAAAATATAATATTTTCTAATGACATATTAAATATACATAATAAAAATATATATTAATATATTATATTTCAAATTGGTTCGAATTTTAAGTATACCGATCCGATCCGAAAATCCGAACCAAATTTTAAATTTCGATTTGGTTCAAATTGAATTTTCGAATATTTTGCTCACCCCTAAATTTTTGGAAATCAACATATTCTTTGTTAATTATAAATCATTTTGTCAACATTGTATTTCAAATTCCACCAAAATTGACAACATTTGGCAAGTTATCTCTGCCTTTGCAATTCAAATTCATATATTCTCCTACAAATGATAAATTTAGATATTGTTTAATTTCTTCCATTGTTTTACTTTATTCAATATTTTGTTCAAACACAATATAACCATTGATGAAAATTGCCAACAACAAATAAAGCCAACTAGTGTGATGGTGAGTCCTACAATTTATATTTTTTTTTAACAGAAGAATTTTTTCAATTCCGAAAAGGCAATAGTTATAAATAATTATGGTTAGGAAAAATTGTAAATTTTATATTGTATGTAAAATTCAATATCATTTTAGATCTTCAACCGAACAAACTGACAAAACAAAAAGGCAAATTTAACATATGGAGAGAGTATTATTTTACCACTGTAAAATTTTTACCCTTTAAAACTATAAAAAAAATACTAACATTTTTATAAAAATTAACAGTATTATACTATTTAGATATAAATATTGAAAAAAAGAACTTTTAAAAGTGGGATAAAAAGTGTATAAAGGAATATTAAATATAATTAAAAGAATAGAACAGTAAAAAAAAAAAAATTAAATTTAAAACACAACCATTTCTTTTTCTTTTTCTTTTTCTTTTGTAAACAAGTCGTTGGAAATGCAGCAATATATATATATATATATATACACATATATCTGAGAATTTACCAGACTCAAAACTAAATAAAATTTTGAAAACAGCTAAACTAATTCTGAAATTCTGCAAGTCCAAAACCATAACATATATATATAAAGCCACAAATAGAATTCCAAAAAAATAAAAATATGCAGATTCAAATTCAACAGCATAATAAAGAACAATGCAAAAGTCCAACATAAATTATTAAAAAGAAAGCAAGTGCACCTCATGTGTCCCTCCATCAAATCATTTTGATCCCACCGCAGTCGTTAAGAATGCTCTTCCCGGTTTCCTGTTCGCCAAAGGTCCATGGCATCCAAGAAGCTGCAACATTCGAAATATACACACACACAATTAGACGAATATAAGAACATAGCATAGAATATTTTTGATCGAACAAATTTATAGACATTAACTCAAGAGTAGGGTGTTTAACAAAAAACTAACCTTTGCATTCACTCCATCAGAAAGAATCCTATTCTCAGACTTCCACTTCACAAAATCAGTGCGGCTGAATTTGGTGAATCCCCTAAAATATTAACCCACGAAAAATCAGCAATCGGATTTACCGTATAGAGCTTTTTTTTTTCCGTCTTACTTTATTAGATAAATTAAATCTCAGATAGGAACAATACTCTATAAACCACAAAACGATATTCAACTATAACAGAAACCAGAAACAAGATGAGAATGGAAAAATCAATCGAATTAGAAACAGCATAAACAAAAACATCAGCATCATAAATAAGTGTTATACCATTTTCGGCTGACAATGATCTTCTGACGGCCAGGAAACTTGAATTTAGCACGACGTAAGGCCTCCTGTGCATGATGGCTGTTCCCATCCTTGCAGCGCACAGACAAGAGCACCTGCCCGATGGCCACCCGGGCACAGGTACCCTGGGGCTTCCCGAAAGCACCTCGCATGCCAGTCTGGAGCCTATCAGCCCCGGCGCACGACAACATCTTGTTGATCCTAAGGACATGGAAAGGATGAACCCTGACCCTCAAGTGGAAGGCGTCCTTCCCAGCAAACTTGGCCATGTATTTGTTACAGGCGATACGTGCAGCTTCCAAAGCCTCGCTCGACACATTTTCCTTCTCCCAACTCACCAAGTGCACACAGAAGGGGAATTCATCGACACCTTTCTTCTTCATGCCCACATCGTAGATCCGGATCTTTGGGTCCGGGACACCACGACAATACCGCGACTTGGGGTATGGTTTGTTCTTGATCTGGCGATAACACCTAGCAGGTCCTGTATGTAGGAAACATTAACAATTGGGAGGGAGAGTCGTCATAAGTGTGTGTTAGCCTAGCCACAAAACACATCTCAGACATTTATCTATAGACTACAGACACAAGAAAAGAAAATATCATTTAGGCAAAATTGTATTATGCATTCTCAGGAATGGAATATCAATGTCTTTGTACATGAGCAGCCTTCTTGAGAATCAACTAACTCTCATTTTCTTATACACACAAAATCACATCTCAAACCATAGATAGATCTAACCTAAAGTGAAGTGAAAATCAGCCAAGCAATATCACAATACACATCAATAGATCTTCGTGAATATCATTGTTCATTAGCATTTTGGTAGGAGGTTTCCACGAATTCGAATTTTTCTTTAAGTTTCTTGCCTCAAAAAAGAGAGAATCCATCCTTCAAGCAAAATAGCATACACCATTTAAAAAAATATATATATTCATTCTTAATAAATTCTCAAATCTCACTTTCATTAAGGGCACAAAACACACCTAACACCTCACATCCTATCCTATAGATGAGATGAGATATAATCTACAGAAAAAAAATAAAAACATAACAAATATCCATCCAGTAAACTAGTGATCATTAACGTTCTCAAGTAATTTTCATGAGGTAAATCTTAATCCTTACCGTGACAGACACACAATCAGCCAAAAATCCAACCGCAGCATAACAAATCAAGTAAAGGCACAAATATTTCCATTCAAATCAGCTTAAAAATCAGCATCCTTCGAGTAAAATAACAATCACGAATATAAATGATGAATCCAAACTTACTTCTCCCCATCGCAACGTCGTCGTCGGCACAGTAAAGTGGATCGAAACGCAAGAACCCTAACCCTAATTTCAATAAACGTGAGAGTGTATATATATTTGTAGAATGGGCTATTGGGCCTTTCAGGAAAGTGTTCATAAAACAGTCCAATCATCGGCCCAATATGTAGAGTTAGACTTGCCATTTAGACTTGCCCATTCGGTTTCGAACCGTCGGTTCGAACCGGCGGTTCGACGGTTTATGAACCGGAGGTTACGGTTTGAACCGAACCGGATGCAAACCGAACCGAAACCGTAGTTCCGACCGTTCGGTTTCGGTTTGTAGTTTCTCCAAACCGTGAACCGTCGGTTCAAACCGCGGTTCGGCCGTAACTTTTTTTGTTTTTTGTTTTAAATCTAGCCGTCCGTCGCGCAAGAGCAGAGCAGGCAGGAGAAGAAGAAGAAGAAGAAGAATCGGAGAAGAAAGGAAAGAATCGGTGAAGAAAAGAAGAAAGAGGAAGAACCTGATGGCTGCCTTGGCTAGTGCGGCTGCGGCTGCTGTGGTGTGGGTGTGTAAAATGATTTATTAGGTCTTAGGGCATTAGGATTTTGGACAAATTTGTATGTTTTAAAATTATAATAATATGTTTAACTTAAATTTTTTATATATTATCAATTTTTTTATTAAATAAAACATTATTAATAATATTAAAAAATACTAATACTAATACTATAATATTTTTTTTATTTATATTTTGTAATTTTTAATTATATTATCAATATTTTTATAATTTATTTGTATTTTTTAATTTATAATTTAATTGCTTTTTAAATTTATTGTTTAAATTATTTTTACATTATAACAATCTAATTAATTATTATTCATATAATGAATATGTAATAAATAAAATTAATTATTTTAAAATAAAATTCAAATTTTAAAAAATAAAAAAATAATAATAATAAAAAAAATTATTAAAAATAAATATATATAAACCGAAACCGACCGTTTATAAGAAGATGGTTCTAGTATAGACCATTACACCAAAAATATCCTCTCTCGATACGCTCTTGCGCTTCGAATCGTAATCGAAATCGTCAAATCGAAATCGAAATCGTTATTCAGAAGGTTCGATTTCGATTTGATATTTTGACAAACCGTAATCGACGGTTTGTAATCGTAATCGGCGGTTTGAACCGTTTGAGCAAGTCTATTGTCATTCCGTCCGCCGGTTCGCCGATTTTCGAACTGACAATTATGGTTCAAACCGAACCAAAATCGAAAACCGTCGTCTGACGGTTCGATTTCAATTTGAGAAGGCTGTTTGGATTTTTTTTGTCACCAAGAAGAAGAAAAATATGTGCATGCAGATGTGTACATGTAAATGTATTGATTAGGTAAATTGGTAAATTGTGTCTATTTTATAATAATAATAATATTATATTTATAATTAAATCTTTTTATATATTATTAAATTTTTATAAAAATAAAATAGAATAAATTTAATAAATATAAATAATTATTAACGATATTATTTTTTATTTATATTTTAATTTTGTAATTTTTTATTATATAATTATATTTAATTTAAGTTATCTTATTATCTATTATATCCATATTTTTATAATTTATTTTATTTACTTTTTAATTTAAAATTTAATATAATTTAGTAAAAAAAAATTAATTTAATTGTTTTTATATTATAACAATCTAATTATTTATATATAATTTTTACATAATAAATAAATAAATAAATAAAAAGTATATCGGAATAAAATTAATATCATATTTAATTATTTTTAATAAAATTTAAATTTAGAAAAATAAAAAATAAAAATATTAAGAATTAGAAAAATAAAAAAGAAGAATATTAAAAATAAATATATACAAACCGACAGTTCAAACCGTAATCGGCGGTTTATAAATCGTAACCAAAATCGTCAAACTATAACCGAAATTGTTATTCGAAATGTTCAATTTCTGTTTGATATTTTGACAAACTGTAATAGATGGTTTGAACCATTTGAACAAATCTATATAGAGTTGCACATAAACTAAGAATTAATTAGGGTAATTTTATTTTATTTTTTTAATTTTAAATTTAGATTATTTTATAGCGTTACTTATATTTTTATAAAATAATACTTCATTCGTCTTATATAATTTGTTTATTTTTTTTTATATTTTGGTTAGTTCTACATAATTTGTTTTTTTTTTTTGAAAATATAATTATACACTTTAATCGTATTTTAAATATTTAAATTTAAAAACTTTTTAATTTTAATTAAGATATTTAGTCATTTTAATTTTAATATATAATTATTTTTGCTAATAAATTTTTTAAGTACTTAATAATAATTATATAATAACTAAAGCTTTGTAGTTAAAATAAACAAATTAGATGAGACGGATGAAATAATAATAATAAAAAAAAAGTTATTAGAAATATATAAAAATAATAATATAAATTGTAATTTATAAAAAAATTATTAACATGTGTTTAAACACTTAAATGATAATTTTTATTTATTATAAAGTAAATAAATGGACTTGAATTATCAATGATATACCTTTTTAACAAAAATATTCACTTTGAAATTATCTAACTATTGAATTAAAAAATAATAGTAATTTTTTATTTAATTCAATACAAAATAAAACATTATAAACTATTAAATTTGTTTGTTTTTAAGTGATTTCAATTATATGGTGAATATTGTATTAGTGATTGGTTTATAGGTATGTTTCTTTAGACAAATTTTTTCAAATTTTACTATTTGAATTCTGTGTTTTTTCGAAAAAATTACATTTTTTTTCTCTAACAAAATATTTCATTAAACATTATTTTAATATTAAACTCAAACTAAATATGACCGTTTAAAAATATGTTGAGTTATATATTGTATTTGAAAGATTATTTTTATTAATTTAATTTTTGTCACATTTGTCCATGAACATAGGTGGGAGGAAAAATTGGAAAATGAATAGAAATATATATTAGGGTGTGTTTGTTTTGGGGGATTGGATTGGATTTACACTATTCATCCAATTTTTTTCCCCTAAAAATATTAAATCAAATACCTATTTTTTATTTTTTATATTATATTAAAAATCAATTTTACATTCAAAATATCACATCAACACCTATTTATATCACATTATACAACTATTCAAATTCAAAATTTTTACTATTCAAATCCCAACTCAAAATTCAAACCCCAAACAAACACACCAGACGAAACCATACGAGGTTAGGGTACCTAATCTAGCCGCAAATTGTGTATTTTTAGTTTAAAAAATAACAAATTATGTATTTTATAACATTAGCTCTTCAAGTTTTGTATTTTATGTTTATTTATTTATTTATTTATTTGTATAAAAAATAGTAAAATTTACGTAGTTTTATTGATTTGCTCTTTAGAATTAAAAAAATAAAAAAAACTATAGAATTATAAGAACTACTGGCGTTATATATATTAGGATTACAAAATATAATGACGTGGTTTTAATTTTATTGATTATCAATATAATTATTTTAATTATGAGAATAATAAAAAGTATATTTCCAAAATTACTAAATTTTCACTACACTTGATTAGGGTATCAATGGACATAAATTATATTATAATGTACTATAATCATAAAATTAAATCAATTATTTTATTATTATTAAAAATATATTAGTTATAATTTTATTAATTATGATATACTTAATAGCATTTAATACATACTATCTCATGACTCTAAGGGTTTCATTTACTTTTTACGTGTCGATTTTTGAATATTAATTATTATATCAAAACGTATCGCAAATTAAAAAAATACTTTTATTAGTGTCTTATAATACTAGTAGAATAACAACATTTGTATAAAAAATTATATAAATATAAAGATATTTTTAATGTTAAGTACAATGACACAAAAAGTAAATGTGATCTTTTGAGGCGGATGGATAGAGTATTTATTTTATTAAAAATTCAATTATTAAAAAAATAAAAAATAATAACAAAAAAAATAGTTGATGGAGTGAACCCCACACCGATCTCTTATTTATATATATATATATATATATATTATTACAATACACCTAAACCATTCTTTATAGATAAATTGTAAAGATTCTCAAATGTCGATTGTTACAACATTCAAATTTCATTTCCCTCAATCAAATTAGAAGTTGAAAATGAAGGGCTGATATTGAGCACCGGTGACCTTGGAGAGGTAGGGATATCAAATGGGGCGGGTTAGTCCCGGACCCGCCCCGGACCCACTCTTAATGAGGCGCCTTCGGGTCTAAATAATATGTTTGGGGGCGGGTTGTGAATTTAAAATTTTAAACCCGGGCGGATTCGGGGCGGGTTACGAATTTTACTAAAAACTCGTCCTAACCCGGACCCGGATATTTTTTAAAATTATTATAATTAATATATATGTACATTTATATAATAAAAATATATTATTTATTTACTTAAATAATTTTAAATATAAAATTCAATTAGTCGTCTGCTCCAAATAATTTTTTAAAATTATTATACCTAATATATGTATTTTTATATAATAAAAATATATTACTTATTTATTTATCTTATTTTTATGGATCAATATTTGATTGTTTTTAGATTTATTATTATTTTTTTGTGCTTTTAATGTTATTTGTTTTAGTATTCCATTGTTAAAAATAATATTTATTATTATATATTTTTAAAAAAAAAAAAACGGGTTTGTCGGGTTGGCCCCGAACCCGGAGGGTTCAGGGCGGGGCGGGTCCTGGGGCCGGGTGGAAGCGGGGCGGGGCGGGTCTCGGAGCCTAATATTTTCTAGCGGGGCGGGTCTCGGGGCCTGCAAAACCCGTCCCAAACCCGCCCCATTGACATCCCTACAACTAATATCAAACAGTTGTTTTACTGAACATTTTAATGCAAACAGCTAATCGAATCAGCTAGTCAAACCAGCTAATTGAATCAGCTAACAATATCACCTAATTGAATCAGCTAACAGCTAATTCCCAAACACGCTCTAATTCTCCAAATAAATTCACAATCGTCTTCTATATGTGATGTGTTCTTCATGACTGGACGATGACGATAATCACACTAGAAAAATTGTCGGCCATGTACATAATCACTAAACTCTTTTCATTATGTTTTTGGTGTGATAAGACAATCATTTTTG